GTACCCGGAGAGAACCCACGCATGCTCAGGGAGAACATTCAAACTCCATGCAGAAAGACCTCAGAAGAAATTGAACCCAGAACCTTCTTGCTACAACACAGCAGTGCTACCCACTGTGCCACTGAGCAGCCCAGGAACTTGAGGTGTTATACCTCTTTCTCATTCACCATTGTTGGCTGCCTTATCCAGCTACTTCCACTGCTTAACAGCTTTAAATCCATCCACAGATACGTCTGTTGTTGTTTTTTCTACACATGCGGGTCTCATTGGGGACACAATTTCAGACAGTCAAGTGAACAGCCACAAAAAATAAATAAAACGTAGCTGAAAAAAAAAAAATTGGAATCTAGCATCAAGACAAGCAGTGGTGAACGTGGCCAAAAGAAACAAGCTTAGGTGGTTTTGGCTTCCTGATTCGGATGTCCTGAGGAAGCCTTCCTTTGGAGATTCTCAATTCACATCTCACATGGGAAACAAACAGAAGCCGGGAGTGTTGCATTGAAGATGGATATCTAAGTTTCCCTCCTGGATTTGTAACCACGCCAACCGGACCTCTTACAAGCTGCTGGTTGGTTACTAAGACGATAGACAGTGAATCACATCAGGCTTTAAGTTCTGTAAACAGACCTAACGGAGAACAGAAAAAATAGAATTCAAGCACATAAATAGTGGGATGGCTTATTCATCTATATTCAGTTAAATTAAATGTTATTTTTGATTCAGTACTTTATTAGTTGTGTGATGAAAGTGTGAAATGAAAGTTATGACAGAAAACTAAAGTTCTGTAATGGCGTCAACAAAGTAGAGAAATGCTCCAACCAATGCTAATGGTTAAAGCATTCACAACGGCTCAGGGAAGCCGAAGGGTTTCATGTTGGGTCATTGATTTATTCATAACGGTCTCTAATATTAATAGAAACGTCTTATTGGCTATTAATTCCCCAGCTTGTTACCCTTACTGCACCCTGTACTTAAAGTTTCAGGTGAAGATGACCCATCCCTCCTCACTCAGAATCGATTATTGATGCACTTACAACCTCCACCGTGTCTGCGCCTATTGACCTCTTTCAGAGGTATGAGTGATGGAGCAGTGTAAAGACCAGGGAGGATAAAATATTTATCTCGTTGACATTATTTGAGGTCTGACTCATGCACAGCCAGTGACTGTTGTGATATTAATTCTTGCTCTGTTTATTTGCTGTCTGCTAACAGGAGCACAGACGATGATGACAGCTCTTATGATTTGCAGGGCTGATGGATTTGTCGCCGTGTCGTGGAGATAAATGGGACCGTGGTTAGTCAGCCAATAAACCGCGTGTTTTTATTTGCACCCCTGCTTTCATCAGAGGCCTTTCAGTGCAGCCATGTTAAACAGAGTGACAAAAGCTTAGGATTGATTCTTCAGTGACAGTTATGTGTCCATCATCAGGGAGGTGATTATTGGTTATCGGATGGGGTCATTTTTGTGACCTTGATGCACCTTTTAGAAGCTGTTGGGTTTATTTTAAAGTAAATCACTTTTAGCTTTTGCTATCCTACACACAGCATACAGATAGTAGCACAATATGACACAGTTATCTTTTGTAACATTTCAGACATCAAGCACTGATTGAATGCAATATCTTTTTAGCTGTATAGATACTTTAACTCCTGTAGATTAATACAACGTTTGATCTGGATTCAAAGATGCATTACGCCGTTTTCTAAGAAAACTGCCACCTGTGGCCAAAAAGCAAAACTGCAGCCCTCTTCTGGTTGTTTTTATAGCTCTCACTAATCAGCTTCTGATTATCGACAAAATGCATCTTGAATAAAACGTTTTGATTGTTTACTAGACTGGAGCCATTTACAGGGTTTTCACGGTTCATTAGAAATCATTAAAAGTCATTGAATAATTATTTTTTAAATTAAGCCTGAATTGGCATTAACATTCATTAAATGTGATTATTTTGGCATTTAAAATGCTTTATTTAAAAAAAAATGTTTATAAAAACTATTTCTTAAATGATATATAATATGCAAATATATTGCGATATATTTGCGAGGAACTGCTTCCGGCTGATCGTCAAGCCGTATGTTCGGAGAGTTATAGGTACTTGTCGCATTAAAAATATTTTTAAGAGCATTAAAAGAGCATTAAAAAGCATTAAATTGGAGTTGCTCATTCCTGTATAAACCCTGATTTAACATGGACGCGTTTGATGTCACATCTGCCGAACAGCCCGGGAACTTCCGACCTGAAGTAAATTCAGGAAACCAGGCTACAGGCTTATTGATACATCAGTACTGAACTACTGAGGTCTGCTCATTAAATTACGTTTTAGTCGTAAAGATTTAAATAAAGTTATTTGAACAATATTTTCAGTTTAAAAAATGGGACAAACTCTAAAGCTTACAGAAGTGGTGATGATTGAAAACTGTACATAGACATATTATGGATGCTTGGCTCTTGTGGTTGGCATTCTGTGCATCTTTATTCCTTTTCCTTTTTTAAATTCTTATTTTGTTTGCTCTTCTATCCCTGTGATTGTTGCACATCTGCTTTGAGTTTTAGTGTTGGGTTCTGGTCTAACTGGTCTGATTGTTTGATTAAATGGACCTCCACTCAGCCGTTTGATTTGGCTTCAGTTGGCTGACATTTGTTGTGAAGCTGATGGGCTGATGGGCCGTTGGAGAACGGGGTGTTTGTGTCCTGGAGAGGCTGTAAGGTCGCCTGGTTTAAAACTCAGACTGTCACTCTGGGTCCCTGAGCAAGACTCTTTACCTCAGATTGTTCCCCATTTTCTACTTTGCATTGCAGCACAATCTTTAGGGAAGACAAGTTTTCCCAAAAAGGGATTTTTCCTTTAGATTTACGTACAGGCTTTTACTAATGTTATACACTTCATATGCTTTCATGGGTTTCACAATTTAGACAGTTGCCCGTCTGTCTCATGAATTTTTCCCGCTCCACCCATTAGCCCAAGGGTGGTTTCCTCTGTTAGTCCATGTGCCACAAGCTGAATCCCAACCACGGCTGACTGATCTTTAAAAGCTTGGAGTAACGATGTGGTTTGTCATTGCATGTAGAGAATTACAAGTCTGTGGCCAAAATAGGTTGGTTAAAAACATTCTTATACCAAATGCTCTTTTGCTTACAGCATTATGTACAGTGATGGTTGTTTTTATGTATTTCTCCTCTCTGATGTTTTGACTCTGTTTATATAAGCATTACATTATGTCCTTATATGTTAGACATGCCGGTCCCAGATCACAATACACCCTCAGAAAGCTCGTAAAGATGGGAACCTCTTTATGACATTTAAAAAAATATATATAAGTTGACATAATATAAACATAGCTCACTGGTTCTGTTTCCTGAACTTGATCTTAATGTTCACAACCTTTGACAGTTTGTCCTAATGTGGAGCTGTGATTGATGTGGGGTGGGTGGGGTTGACGTTGGTTTTGCAGCGAGGAACTCTTGAATAATTATACATCCCAAACACACTGAGATATTGATGGATCCTTTTCACCATGGTAATTTTTTTTCTTTTGTCTGTGTTTTTAAAATACTGCTTGAGGTTCTTGTTGAACCCTTCATTTGTAAATGCTTTTATTTTTAGTTAAATAGTTCTTGAAACCAAACGTTTACCTCTTTCTATAGTGAATGTGTTCATTTGCAATGATAAATGATAAACTTTAACACATCTTTGTGCATTTTCTGTGTAAGAAACAAAGTTTTTTGATGTACTGAAGTTTATAGTTTTGATTCATTATTGAGATACCAGGTCTGGGGTAAAAACCAAGAAAAAAACTAACCCTGCCATAATTCATGAGGTGGACTGGAGCCTCTGCTCCAACCTGAAAAGGTTGTCCACATTTTTCAGTTTAAAAAAATCACAGCCTCCGACTCAGAGACGAGGACTTTTATCCCAGCTGCTTCACATTTGCCAGGGCCGTCTTAGCAGATCATATTAATTATTGGTTCATTTTTTTTTGTAATTTTTAACAGAAATCTCGTGCGGATAAAATAGAAAAAAAACGTCTAAACAAGAAATGACTAATAGCGCAAAGTCCCTTTGCTTTATGGACATTAAACGCTGATAGATCAAAACGTTTTATCTGCAAAAGAATACGAACTTGCATAAAAATGCTAATTTCTCTTTGTGGCCCAGAAATGTTGTGAAGCTGAAACTAAGATGTTTAAAACTCTGGAATTTCTTTAAAGACAAATGAGGATGCCAAACATATCAGTTTACATAGTTTTTTTTTTTTTTTTTCCCCATCTACTGGTTTTATCAGTTAGTAACAACGATTTACAACTCTGCTCATTCTTTTGTATAAAAGTCCAGCTTTCTAATTACCCATCTTTTCATCATCTCTCCATCCATTCAGGTTGCAGGTTGGAGCAGTGGTCAGCACTGTTGGCAACAAGAAGGTCCCAGATTTGAATATTGGTTGTAGCCCTAGGTATGTGGAGTTTTCTTGTTCTCGTTGTGCATACATGATACACTCCTGGTACTCCAGCTTCCTTTAACAGTCCAGGACCTTCCAGTTTATACCTTCTTGCCTTCTTCTGTAGTCTTTTCCTGTTTCTGTTTCCATATTTGATGCCTGAGTAATATAGCAATATCTGTCATGGATTGTTTAACTTCTGGATATAAGTTTTTATTTTTCTTAATGGGCCTCAAAATGAATAAGATGTTTGGAAAACTACCGAAATTTGACATAAAAAATGTGTAGAAATCTTTTTTTTAATTGAACCACAACAGGTTGATATCTTATAGAACCAATCAGTTCATTTCCCAGCTGGGTTAACCATTCTACGTAAAACTAGAGGGTTAAAATCCTCATTGAGAATTTACAGTTTCCATTCAGAATATAGCTCAGCACAGCCAGAACTCAGTCGTCAGTTGTATTTCAGAACTGCAATGGGTCAGATGTTGATGTAATCCCTCCTTCAGCAGCTGGCGGGTCTGATATCATGCTTCAAAATTAGACTTTGAAAATATTCACAAACGAGCACATTCATACACAAAAACACACACACGCACACAGACGGAGGCAGGCACTTAAGCACAGCGAACAAGGAAGGCTTCTTTCTTTTTCCTTTCTGTTTGAATGAGGAGCTGTGGCTCAGCCGTTGAGTGTCTCCTCTGTGTGCCTGTGAGGTCGACAGCCCAGGGAAGATTAGGAGGAAGCACATCAAATGAATGAAAAGGATAAAAGAAGATGGAGAGGAGAAAGCTGATGGTGCTAGAACCTTGCAGCGTTACACCCGCTTTAAGAGAATTATCTGTGCAGGGTCTGAGAGTGGACAAGAAATGCACACAAATGGTCACATAATGCAGCTTGACTTAAATCTCATTAAAACTCTTTATTAATCTGAACGACTTGATTCATGTTAATTTATGAACTGTTCTTGTTTTCCTCCCTCATCCAGAGGAGCCAACACTTTTTGCATAACTAGTGCAAAGCCTATCTATATAGATATGCTGTCATCTTGCATTCTCACAAAGGCCTTATTTGATCCTGTCACAGATTTTAGGGAGTTTAGAAGCTGTTAACTATTAAAACTGGGTGTGTTAGAACTGGCCGTGGGACCGACTGCAGGGAGTTTGTCATTAACTTGGATGGTTTGCCCGAAAAGCATGGGTGGAGTTATACGTACATAGAAGCTTTTTCATGGAGGCATGCGTCACCATAGCAGGACCACAACACATAACCCTGCTCCCTCCCACTCACTGGTTTCCATATGAACAATTGGCAACGTTCTTAACACAGAAATGATCCAATTTCCTCTTTAAATCCATGCACAAATAAAAAAGTTAATTCTTCTGGAGTCTAAACGTTTTTCCTCCATTACAGAGAAATGCCTAAATCCCTCTTATAACTATTTAACATTACTTAAAAATGCTTTCAGGAAGGAAATTATGTTAAAATAGTTGCTTTTACACTTCCTACAGTAGCTGGCTGATTTATACACACATTGAGCTTTTAATGTATTAAACACCATAATGATAAAAACCTGTTTTAATTCCTCTATAGTTATAGCAAAATTTAAAATCTTATGACAATAACAACACAAACTGTAACTTATGCATCCATTTCGACCTTTTTTTTTTTCTTTTTTTGCCATATAATTATGAAATTCAATGATATTAATGATAATAAAGGTTATTTATAATTCACCTCACACCAGCAGTGTTGTTTTTGACAGTCATCTTAGATTTAGTCTTAGACTTCAGAAGGAAAACTATTATTAGTCTTAGTCACATTTTGGTCATTACTATATGTATGTCAGTTTTAGTTGACTAAAACTTAAAACTGTTTTAGTCTAGTTTAAGTCAGTTTTATGTTGCAATAAAAAGTTAACCTTAACAATTTCGAATAACCACCAGATTCTTTACCAGACTGAGAGCTCTTGCCTAGCTTCTACTATAGCTGGGTATAGAATGCTGCCATGCAGTTCATCATTGCTGTTGGGCAGAAAACTGGTTTATAGAATTCAAATATACTTTTTTATGAATTAATGCCCTACTTTATAAAAAAAGTGTTTCACACTTTTGTGAAAACAGCAGATCTAGTTCAACGCACCATATTGGTTAATATAGCAGACAGACAAGCTTACAAAATGTACAATAAAGCAATGGTTTTAAATATTCAAGGTTTCCATTCAAAAGCAATCCTGATCTACTATGAATTATGCATTAAACATTAATCCAGTGATGTGGTGCAGCTGGTGCATGCTGTTGTCAGTGATGTCTGAAGTTGCAGATGGATCAGTCAGTAGGAAAGGTAAGTTATCTAGTGTTGAGAACTGGATGGTGAATTGAAAGCATGGCAGAATTTTGGTCATCTGTATAACATGAGCTTGAAAATGTTTCTCTGAAGGGATGATGATGAGCTTTTCAGGGAAACATTCGATAGTATTGGAAAAATAGATTGCTAGTACTTTCCTGAGCATGTGTGGGTTGGCTCTTTGTTGTTCCTGGTTGGCTTGCTTTTGGACAGTGAGTTCACATGACTTGAATTTCCGCTCTTGGATGTGTCCAGCTGTTTTCATTTTCCATAGTGTATTATTGTACCGGTGAGCACAGCAAGAGAAGCTGACCAATCTAGTTCTGACAGGGATGGGAAAGGTCCAGAAGGCTGGTTAGCATCAACTTAACTCGCTCATTCACTGATGGAGGAATTGCAGAAAGGAGGTGGATGTCAGATGCCATCATTTCTCAAAGACTTTAAAATGTAATAAGTTGGGTTAATTAAGTTTAATTCTGAAAAGATATTTTATGTATGTGTAAACTCAGGGTTGCCTTTTTGTATCGGATATAAATATGGTGTTTGTTGTTGTGAAGAGAGGATGAGTAGGGCATCATGGAGACTGCCATGTGGTCTGACACAGCAATTCTTAACTTATAGGGTTGTTAGGGGTGACAAGGTCCAGGGTATGACCTCACACACAAGTGAGGACATCAATGTACTGCCTAAGGTTAAAGAAGTCCTGTAAATATAATTTTACCAAGAAGTTAATCAAGAATGCTTTGATTTCTTAACTATCATGACTTATGAAGATGTTGCTCGAAATTAGGTTACAAGATAAATCTGGTTTAAAAATTTGACTTTATTTTTTGCAGAGAGAATGTAGGATGGCTTTAAATGTTTATATAAGTTAATGTTAAGGTTCTTGTTGTGTTTTTTACTGTATAGAGCATTTTATATTTAGAAAAACGGATTGGTTTGAACTGAGGCATACAGCATGTTTTGTTTAACAGATATTATTGATAGTTAAAGTAATTCTATGCTTTTTCTCCTCATGTTTTTCATATCGTTTCTGTTAAATATGAGGTAAACGTTTACTCAGACAAAATGCTGATTGGCCTCATTTGATCATAATTTAGATGAGGACCCGTATCGTCTGTGTTTACATGTGGCACACGTGCAGAAAAACTGTGCGTCAAGCCCTGCGGGCCACAGAGGATGTTGGCTAACTGAACCCATCTGCTGCTTTTGCCAAGCGTAAATCCCGCTAATCAGAAACTTGCAGACTTTTGGACAGAACAAATCTCCCTGTTTCAGTTTCAAAGTTGGCCGAACAAGTTTTAAACAAATCAACCAGTGCAGTGAGATGCTGCTCTCGCTCCCTAAAAGGAAGAGCTTCAGTCTTCATCCTGACTTGACTGTTAATACAACTGGGAGGATGGGTGGGTATCACAAAGCAAAAGGGTTAACTAATCCCTTAATTTATGACGTTATTATGTGTGGTTTAAGCCAGGTTCACGTATGACTCAAAAAATAAGGAAGAAATTAAAAGCACACGCTGCGATCCACATGCTTGCATGGGGCTTGTCAATGCCATTAGCAGACAATATGTGCACACACTCAGACATACTAACAAGCGGCTGTACTGAACAGTGTTGCCGTTAGGCTACAATACATGCACTAGACCCAGCCAAGCGTGAGTGACCTCTTTTAATGCTGTAGGTCTGTTTGGCTCCCTTTCTTGCATCAGATTGTGACGTCTATTGTGCAATATGCACAAAAGAAGGATTAATGTAGCTCCTGGTCTTTCATGAGTGTGCCCATTGTTGTGTGTACGACGTTCACCTTATTTATGCCAAGTTCCTCTCAGACTTAATTTCTAATGATGGTGTGAGAATTATTTATGCATTCCCGTCTGGGAGTCTGCATTAAACTCAACATTACACCCGTAGGTGTAATAAACAGTTGAACCAAAGACATTAAAATGCCATGGTCTGTTAAGCTAGCTGCGCTTTTTTTGGACTGTCTTATCATGTTAAGTCACACTCTCTTATGTAATTTGTTAAATCGACTCTTATCTTTCTTGAAAAAAGGGTCACTTGAAGCCCCCTCACCTCGTTATCTAATCCAGTCTTTTATTTATAGATGTAATGGTTGAGTTTTTTGGGATTGAGTTAATAATCTAAAACTGTGTGAGGGGAAAATCTGTTTTTTCTCCCATGCTTTAGCTGATATTTGTTTTGCATGTTTGGGTGCCGGGTGAGATGCTCAGAGCTGTCAACAGAGGTGTCAAACAACTGGCAAATTTTCTGAGCAATCAATATAAACAGATTATTTAGGAAATGAAGAGAGAATTAGACAGGGTGCTGAAATGTGAACTTTTAGGTTAATCAACTCATAGATCAATATCATTTTTTTTCTTTTTAATGCACTTTAATCGGCGCAGTGGGTAGCACTGCTGCCTTGCAGCAAGAAGGTTCTGGGTTGGATTCCCGCCCCGGGTTCTTACTGCATGGAGTTTGCATGTTCTCCCTGAGCATGCGTGGGTTCTCTCTGGGTACTCCGGCTTCCCTCCACAGTCCAAAAACATGACTGTTAGGTTAATTGAATTCTCTAGATTATCCTTAGGTGTGAGTGTGTGCATGAATGGTTGTTTGTTCAGTTTGTGTTGCCCTGTGATGGACTGGCGATCTGTCCAGGTTGTACAC